AATCTACTCGTACAAAAACATGTGAACAGGTAGATAACTCTCGAGGGAGAGCGACCTGTCGATGTTGTATTCGAGTTGACACCGGAGACAGCGTTCGCATAAATGCAGACAGTCTATGGACGTAGTCTGATTTACCGAAATTAGGTCTGCTCCGTGGTGTGAAGAATTCTCCGGGCAGACGCAATGTCGTGCCGTATACAAGTTCAGTGGCGGAACATTGGATATCTGCCTTTAAGCTCGTTCTCACCCCTAAAAGAACGAGCGGTAAGGTTTCGTGTGCTCGTAGAGCACTTTTAAGTTGGCAGTGAAACCGTTCAACTTAACCATTTGGTGCTGGGTGGTAGACGGATATGCTTATGCGTATGCATTCCGTACCAAGCAGCCGGGTTAGTGAGGAGAATCGTTAGTAGGGTAACATTTCTCGAATAAAGCGTGGAATTCATCATCACGCGAATAAAAAGTGACAAGGATTCGGTACACATACGTGTGAGTCTATTATATTATTACTATTCTTATCGTTATCCGTCATGTCGCGTATATGATATATTAAATATATAAAAATATACGACAGACGTGGATAGATAAATCATAGACTCACCGAATTGGCTTCTTTGGAAGATTTGACTCGAGGTTGAGGCGTGTCCCAAACTTTGGGATCACCAATTGTAGCGTGGTGTCGAGTTGAGATTAACTATGAACACCGCTACAGAGAAACACGTGCCAAATGAATCAGAAGGCGAGGGTTGGACGTAACCAAATAGATCCATAAAATCCCCGAGAAGCCAAATACCAGAAGTCAATTAATGGACCAAATCGAGGTGTATATTTCCTGGCGATCTCGTGGTATCGAGAGGATACCGAGATCGTGCCAGGATACAAACTTGGTTACAGAAGGTAGTCGAATTCGCGCGAAGTTACAATCGAAGTGTGTAAGTACAAGAATGGAAGCACAAAATAGCTGTCATTAGCACAGTCAAACAAAAGCATATTAAAACAATCACTGGTACAGTTGGTTATAATAATAATTGTTTTTAATAAGCCAGTCGTGTTCTCGTGATAAATGTGAGTCACTACCGCAGCCCCCCCGCTAGAAAGGGTTTACACTTTCGATAAATAGCGGTTTGAATCGTGGGACTGATCGGCTGACGAGCGATTGTAGGACGGAAAAATTGGCGAACAGGAAAGCGATCGTTGATCGTCGAGTTGCCAACGAAGCTCTTTTTCGGAGAACGGTACCAAGGGCGATGTGCTGTATTTGTTGCTTGAGTTGGCATGCCACACCAGAGTGGTTTGTATCCAGAATCTCAAGATTGCGTTCGTCGGGAATGCGGACCAGAAATGCTGCAGACGGAGGACGAAACCACGTTGAGCCAAAAGACCAGAAGCGACCGTAACGATCAAGTTCGAGACCAAGCGTATGCCAAGCATTCGAAACCAATATATCGACTGAGTGCGTTGACAAGAGCGTGGGTGATCAGGCCAGCTTTCGCCAAAGTTGACTGAAGTCGACGAAACCAAACGGAGATGGTCAAAGGCGTGGGCTCAGGAAACAAAAAGAAAATCAAAAAAGAGAAGAGTGTAGCATGCGTGTAGTATAGGAATAATTCTACACCGTAATGGTTGTTGACTGTGCGACTATTCGCGGAAGTGTACGGGTAACCGTACTCGGCGACCGGAACATGAGACGTCAGTCTCGATCGCGTCGCGTGAGCCTGCAATTTCGTCCGAAGTCAAGGGCGGCGTGGTCTGCTGATCTGGACGTGAGACTGTCGTCTCATCCGTAGACGGTGCAGATGACGCGTGCTGTTGACTGGAACGTGAGAATGAAGTCTGTAATGTATCTAGCGTGGGGCCTGAAGAAGATTTAAGGATCCCGCTTGTAGGTTTGATAGGTCTAGCATTGAATCTCAGGTTATCAGATAGGGCACTGTCATCGACGTGTGCTGGTTTGAGACGATCAATGCTGACGATCTCGACGCGTCCATATCGATCAACCTTGAAGGTCTTTTCGTGACGAGCGATCACGTGAAAAGGGCCTTCGTAAGGTTGTTGCCAAGGTTTGCGTACCGAATCTACTCGTACAAAAACATGTGAACAGGTAGATAACTCTCGAGGGAGAGCGACCTGTCGATGTTGTATTCGAGTTGACACCGGAGACAGCGTTCGCATAAATGCAGACAGTCTATGGACGTAGTCTGATTTACCGAAATTAGGTCTGCTCCGTGGTGTGAAGAATTCTCCGGGCAGACGCAATGTCGTGCCGTATACAAGTTCAGTGGCGGAACATTGGATATCTGCCTTTAAGCTCGTTCTCACCCCTAAAAGAACGAGCGGTAAGGTTTCGTGTGCTCGTAGAGCACTTTTAAGTTGGCAGTGAAACCGTTCAACTTAACCATTTGGTGCTGGGTGGTAGACGGATATGCTTATGCGTATGCATTCCGTACCAAGCAGCCGGGTTAGTGAGGAGAATCGTTAGTAGGGTAACATTTCTCGAATAAAGCGTGGAATTCATCATCACGCGAATAAAAAGTGACAAGGATTCGGTACACATACGTGTGAGTCTATTATATTATTACTATTCTTATCGTTATCCGTCATGTCGCGTATATGATATATTAAATATATAAAAATATACGACAGACGTGGATAGATAAATCATAGACTCACCGAATTGGCTTCTTTGGAAGATTTGACTCGAGGTTGAGGCGTGTCCCAAACTTTGGGATCACCAATTGTAGCGTGGTGTCGAGTTGAGATTAACTATGAACACCGCTACAGAGAAACACGTGCCAAATGAATCAGAAGGCGAGGGTTGGACGTAACCAAATAGATCCATAAAATCCCCGAGAAGCCAAATACCAGAAGTCAATTAATGGACCAAATCGAGGTGTATATTTCCTGGCGATCTCGTGGTATCGAGAGGATACCGAGATCGTGCCAGGATACAAACTTGGTTACAGAAGGTAGTCGAATTCGCGCGAAGTTACAATCGAAGTGTGTAAGTACAAGAATGGAAGCACAAAATAGCTGTCATTAGCACAGTCAAACAAAAGCATATTAAAACAATCACTGGTACAGTTGGTTATAATAATAATTGTTTTTAATAAGCCAGTCGTGTTCTCGTGATAAATGTGAGTCACTACAAGATCAACATTGGGATTTTTTGTGTTGTGATGCTGCCAACTTAGCATATATCATGATAATTTCTGTACGAAATTATTTCAACTAGAGGTTCTGCTGGATAAGTGTTAGACGGTATCATAACATAATCTATACATCTGTTTGGATATAAGATAACCGGTATGGAATAAATACCGTCCCCGAAGAGTATTTTGAGTAACGTCTTCAGACAGATTAGATTCCTTTATTAAGTTCCTGCCTTTATTGAAACATATGGAATTATCCTCAAGGAAAATGCGATTAAGGACTTTGAAGTTGTATCATCTGACACCTTATTTTTACGACCTATTCCGATAGTTTATGCTTTCGGTATGCTTATCGAACGATTTGTATGGAACATAATATGTTGGATGATACTCCTCTTTTGGATTAAAACATCAATAGTTTGTCTCGAACTTCGTCTTAAATTTACCTAGGAGAGAGTGTTTTAGCAATTCGATTACAGGTTTATTCTCAGCACTACTCAGTTACGGGGAATCGAGCTGAAAAGAGACATATGAATAATACAGAATTTTCAACCAGGAAAACAAGACGCAGTGAGGAATCCATAGGGATTGTTGCATGCAAGTTGAAAATCTCCAGAATTGTTATTTGTTGATCACATTTGGAGGTATTTTTTATGACACTCAGTATTATTAACGTCCACATTAAAGTTAAACAGCCAACTCATACACTAGATAAGTTTTCAAACTTTAAGATTTTGTTTACATTAAGTTTCTTATGAACTATTGTCACTATGTAAAACTCAATAAAGTCAAGCATATAGCTTTACAATTTCATGTTTACATTTTTAATTAACTGTGAATATTAACACACCTTTTAACTGACAATGTAGTTATGAATGTCAAACCAGTTTGTTTGTATGATTTGTCTGTAATATAGTGCTAGAGATTAGTATATTCCTACCTTTTATATCAATTGAATGTAAAATTTAACACATCTGTTAACAGAAAATATCCGTATAGTCTTGTTATTGTAGTGAAGGAGAACACAGGTGAGGACAACCGAATTACATATGTAGCACAAAATTGCAATTATTTGGTAAAATAGAAAAAAACATACTATAACACTTTATATGCAAAATATTCAATAATTGTCTCGTACTTCATTATTTTTACATTTCATACTAATTACATTCTATTCCAATTCTTCCTTTCTTAATCTTTATAGTCTTCTTCTGCTAGACATTATATTCCTGATTTGCATCATATATTACTTAAGTCAATAAGAGTAGCACATATCACATGATTGAATTGAAATTTAAACATTGTAAATAAATATTTTCAGAAGGGGTTTTGTAGAGATTTTAGAAATTTCACTGATTGAAATCATGAGTCAATTGAAGTTAGACCACCATGGAAAACCTGAAAGCACTGGACGGCCGTTTCGTCCTAGTATAGGACTCCTCATCAGTGCGCATCCACGATCCTGCACCCCGCGAGATTCGAACCCAGGCGCTTGACCAACTAGACCACTGAAGCCGTTACCAGTGGAGTTCAACCAGGTCTGTTGTGAGATATCAGCTCATCAAAGACAATGGTGAACGGTGGCGCAACTTTGTGGATTGGTTGAAGTTAGACATTACCACAGTTGGATGCCAGCTCAGTAGTAGTGCTTGCTCGCAAAACTGATGGGTCTTGGGTTCGAATCCTGCGGGTGGCAGGATCGTGGATGCTCACTGCTGAGGAATCCCCGTACTAGGAAGAAACAGCTATCCAGTGCTTCTAAGTTTTCCATGATGGTCTAGCTTCGATCGACTCATGATTTCAACTAGTGAAATAAATATTTGTTAACTTAATAATATTTATTTTACATTATAGATCATAATTTCCAAATGAAAACTCCAAAATTGAAACATAAAAGATCCCCTAATGAAATTGAACTTGATGATCATTCCTCAACAACGGATCAATTATTTTTAATTTTATCATTAGATAAAGCTGAAAAATTTTTCAATCATTTAAATAATGATAAACAACTTAAATTAGAAATACAAAATTATTTAGAAGAATCAAATTTATTATTACAAAGACCAAATTTACCATTTGATTCTTTCATAAAAACGGATTTATTCAATAAACAAAATAATCAAATGAATTCTACAATAGATTTAATGAATAATCATTTCAATAAACTGAAACTGAAAATATCATTATGGGATTCTGCATTAATCAATTATTTTGTTGAATGTATTCAATGGTCAACAACGAAATGGATTCATGAATTTTATAATTATCAAAATAATAAATTCAATTCTATTGAACATAAAATTCATCATTCAATGTTTCAATCATTATTCAATATAAATACTACTACTAATAATAATAATATAAATATGGAAAAATTAATGTGTATTATCATTAGTTTTACAATGGCTTATACATTATTACGTCATTTACAATTATGGCAATTAGCAAATAAACATTTATATAATAATCAAATGGAAGTGAATCAAACTAATGAAAATTTAATTAAAACTAATAAAACAACATGTTTAATAGGATCAATTCGTTTCTTTAAATCCTTATTTCAATTATCACCTACGTCCAACCCGATTAATAATGATAATAATAGCAATAATAACAATAATGATGAAATTAATCTTATACAATTTGAAAAACAATTTTCCGGTTACTTATTTAATCTTGATTCAATAGCGGCAAAATTATTAATAGAATATTTTTCAAAAAATTTTTTAAATAAACATCATTTATTAGAGAAAGTATTTGGACCATATACAGCAATAAATCAACAATTAGTAAGTTGTATATTTCTCTAATATGAACAAACTACTTAAAATGTACTTAAGTAATATATATATATCATTTTGTTATTTAGTATTCAAATAGTTGAGATTATGAGTCAATTGAGACTAGATCAACATAGAAAACCTGGTCGTGAATGTGCACTGCTAAGGAGTGGCACAATAGGACGAAATGGCCATTCAGTACTTTTCCACGGTGGTCTAGCTTCAACTGACTCATGATTTCAACCAGTGATTATTAATCTCAAATACAATATATATTCTTATTTTATTTCTTCTATGGTAGATAAAAATTCCTTGTCCACTTTATTTTGATACATTATTGGAAACATTTGAAACATCAACAGATTCTGTATGGCCAGCTCCATTATCTGAAGCTATTCCACTTAAATTTATTTCAAAATATTCTGAATTATTTCCTGAAAAAGTAACTAAATGGTTAAAATTTTTCAAACCGGATGATATCCCGAAAGAAATTCAACAACAACAACAACAACAACAAGAGCAAGATGAGAAACAAAATGAACAATCTATATCTTCAGTAAAAGAAATTCAAATAGATGAAGTACAACAAGAAGAATTAGATCCAATGTTCAAATATCTTACTTCTATTGATACATTAAATTTAGATGAATTGAATGCAATCGTTGAAGTAAATCCAATAGAATTAGATGGTATTATACAAAAATTACTGTTTGAATTATCTATAAACTATTCTAATAAAGATTATTTAAATAAAATAAAACAAAAACAAATTGAATTAGGTAAACAATTAATTGATAGAGCAAAAGTTAGAATTACTGAATGGAATGATCAAAATAAATCAAAATAAGATGAGTATTTATACTATCAGAGGAATGAATCTCTTTTCTTCTTCTTCTTCTTCTTCATATAATGCATAGGTTAATGTATACAAAAAGAGACAGTAATAAATCTTTCTTTACCCAGGTAACAATACCCCCCCTTTTTATTCATTTATTTCTCTATTTATTTATTGCGTCATTATTCCAAGTCTTTCTGAAGTTGAAATTACATCATACATAAATGATTGATTTCAATTCATATTTTCTTTATTACCATTAATCTATTTTCATGAGTTTTAATCACTATTTCAATGTTCCAGAACTTTCCCTCTCAAACTTTATTTATTCGAGACAAAAATTGTATGGCCTCATTAACTCTATCGGAATCTTCGCTACATCATAATACACATGTATTCATCCTTAACCACCCTCTTATGTATAAGTATGTCAATATCTGTAATAATGTTGAATTTTAAATATTTAAGGTTGTAAAGGGACTGATGAGAACCTAACGAAATCAAATGAATTCATATTATTCTGCATTAATCTTTATGTTTGCTCTCTTTAAGATAATGTATTTTCATTCTATAGTAAAGATGATATATTGTGTCTTAATCTATTCACTTTAATCGTTTAAAGATCCCCGTCCTATTAAAAGACTAATATTTGAACGAAGAATATTCTTTTCGATAAATTCTCTTCAGGTTCTACAATTATATATCCAAATTATTAATCCGAAAAGTGGCCAAGTTAAGGGTAAAGTACATCGTTTAGAGCATGTGAATTTAGAATTGTGATAAACAAAATACAATAAAATTGTTAATGTTAATATGACTCATATAAAATGTTAACTTGAATCTGCGTATATGTTAAATGAAATCTTAAGATCCATGATCAGAATAAATATGGGTCAAATAGGGTGAGAGAGAAATAATAGTGCAATTACAATTCGATCAAATAAGTAAGACGTAATACAGAGGGATGAATGCAAAGTGAATGAATCATGTATAGGGAGATTAATGATGTTTAACCAATAATAATAATTAATAATAATAATAATAATAATAATAATAATAATAATAATAATACAAAGATTTATGAATAAAGATAACAGGGACAATTACAATTGACTACGAAAGGTCATAGTCAAATTGGGTCATTCAATAGTTAAGATTACGATTGATTAATTGGCCTATATGTTGGCCAGGGGAGGAGGAGTGGCTGAACATATTTCTTCTGTACGCACAGCTCCGGTTTCTTCATTCGGATGGCTACTGCTTCAGCCGTTTGAAGGACTTTCAGTCTGACCAGTTTTGGCAAAAAATTACTTACCTTATAAATAATTGAAAAAGATTGGTTTATACTGGCACTATGACCGGTTTGTACTAAATGGGCCAATATTGAGCTGTTCACCTTCTTCATCAAACCTTTGTTTAACCACGCTGGAAGGTGTTCACGAGCACGAAAATGTAAATTTCTAGAACTTCGACCAATATAACTCGCTCCACAGGAGCAGTTGAACTGATAAATACAAAATGATGTGGTCATTCTAGGTAATTCATCTTTTAGCTTCGGTGTAACCATTGGGCGCGTAGAAAATACTAATCGCAGTTCTCCGGCGTTAAACGACTTTTGTATTGTCCTACGTAGTCTCTGAGTTAGTATTTCGCTAGCCGCATCCCCTCTGAATTGTAGACCAATCTTTTTCAATTATTTATAAGGTAAGTAATTTTTTGCCAAAACTGGTCAGACTGAAAGTCCTTCAAACGGCTGAAGCAGTAGCCATCCGAATGAAGAAACCGGAGCTGTGCGTACAGAAGAAATATGTTCAGCCACTCCTCCTCCCCTGGCCAACATATAGGCCAATTAATCAATCGTAATCTTAACTATTGAATGACCCAATTTGACTATGACCTTTCGTAGTCAATTGTAATTGTCCCTGTTATCTTTATTCATAAATCTTTGTATTATTATTATTATTATTATTATTATTATTATTATTATTATTATTATTATTATTATTATTATTATTATTATTATTATTATTATTATTATTATTATTATTAATTATTATTATTGGTTAAACATCATTAATCTCCCTATACATGATTCATTCACTTTGCATTCATCCCTCTGTATTACGTCTTACTTATTTGATCGAATTGTAATTGCACTATTATTTCTCTCTCACCCTATTTGACCCATATTTATTCTGATCATGGATCTTAAAATTTCATTTAACATATACGCAGATTCAAGTTAACATTTTATATGAGTCATATTAACATTAACAATTTTATTGTATTTTGTTTATCACAATTCTAAATTCACATGCTCTAAACGATGTACTTTACCCTTAACTTGGCCATTTTTCGGATTAATAATTTGGATATAGTGAATTGTAGGAACCTGAAGAGAATTTATCGAAAAGAATATTCTTCGTTCAAATATTAGTCTATTCACTTTAACTGAATCCTATGACAAATATATTTAGAACAATTAGTCCCTTTGATAAATTTCGATAATGATATTAGAAGACGAAGATTATCAGAACTATGTCATATATTAGCGCAATACATTTCGAACAATCTGATCACACATATATATGTTAAGAGCATTTATATATAAAAATAAAAGGTCAACTAGACTGGAAACGGGGTAAGAAAAGATAAGGATAATTGATAAGAGTAATAATAATAATAATGTGAAACCTAATCACTCTGGCTAATAAGTCAATATTACCAGGGTAGGTTTAAGGTAAGAACAAACTGTTTTTGAACACACAAAGGGGGTTTGAATTTTCGTATGGCTGAGGTTTCAATAAACTTCTTACCCTGTTTCCTGTCTAGTTGACCTTTTATTTTTTATATATAAATGCTCTTAACAAGTATATGTGTGACCAGATTGTTCGAAATGTATTGTGCTAATATATATCACATAGTTCTGATCATCTTCGTCTTCTAATATCATTATCGAAATATGTTTAGATTAATGATGAATTAAATTTATTCATAATCAACTTTGTTGCTAAGGCTTAATGATGGAACCAAGATTTAAATTGGATTGATCTTTTAAACATTTCATATGAATAATTAGTAATTCCAAGGTATCCATGGTCAAGTTTCAGTCACTTCTTTTTCTTTTGCAGTAATAGATTTTGATAAACAGTAATTATATATTTTTTGATCATATTTTTCCTACTTATGAATATTAGCCTATAATGAAAATGAATTGAATGAAAAGAATGTAGTAAATATAATTTTTTTTATAAGAAAGTTATATTATCAGATGGGTTTTGTGGAGATTATAGTAATTTCGATGGTTAAGATCATGAGTCAGTTGAAGTTAGACCACCATGGGAAACCTGTAAGCACTGGACGACCGTTTCATCCTATTGTGAGACTCCTCAGCGGTGCGCATCCACGACCTCGCGCCCTGCGAGATTCGAACCCAGGACCTACTGGTTTCGCGCGCGAGCACTTAACCACTAGACCACTGAGCCGGCATCCAACGATGTTAATGTCTAACTTCAACTAATCCACGAAATTGAGCGACACATCCACCATTGTCTTCAGTGAGTTACTATCTCACAACAGACCTGGTTGAACTCCAGGTTTTCCATGGTGGTCTAGCTTCAACTGATTCATAATCTTAACCATTGAAAGTTATATTAATTTTTAACTATTTATTAATATTAATAGCTTATATTAGAAAGGATACAAACTAGAGCTGGAAATATGGATTATTGGATCACGATAGCGTGGTTTAAAGATCATGCGCTTACTATTGGAATTGAAAGTCGTATGTTTAATCACTTATTAAAATTCTGTATATGTGCTGCCGAGATATTTTAAAGTAGAATGAAAGAGCTTGTTAGGCCTTTTTATATTTTGTTACAGACTACTGTAATCAACAGATAATATCAAAACATTTTCTGTGTGACTGAAAAAGATTGAATATGAAGTGGTTTACTTAAGTAACAGTAAATTGATGATAAATAATCACTATTACATGTCAGTTACTATGATAAAAAACTAACATTAGACGAAGATTATCCGAGTAATAATAATAATGTGAACACCATTTAAAACCTAATCACTCTGGATAATAAACCAATATTACTAGTGTGGGTTTAAGGTGAGAACAAACTGTTTTTGATGAATACACATAGGGGGGAGGTTGAATTTTCGTATGACTAAGGCTTCAATAAACCTTAGTGTACCCTCTTTTACACTTTTATACAACAGCACAAAAGCCGAGTAAAGATCGATCTTATGGCCTGTTTCGATTATAACATTAGATTAAGTTCTCATTAGAAATTCCAGATTATTTCGTATTATAACATTAAAAACTACGGATGATTTTTATCGCTTGTTTGGAAATTGTTATATACGATAATAAAAAAATATAATAACTCCGAAGATTCTACTTAAATGACACTATGTATAACATAATATTAACTAGTAGGCTACTGATAGAAACTAGTTCAATTAGACATCAACATTTCAGCCTGTTAACCAATGAAACAGATTGTTTTTTGAAATTATGAACCGATCAGTGTTAGATCATCATTGAAAACTCGAAATTCCTAGTATGGGATTTCTCAGAATTGACCACGTGGGACTTGAGCCCACTACCTTCGATCTTGTGCATACGCTTAACCTCTAGACCACTGAGTCGGCATCCAACAGTGCTAACGTCTAAATTTAATCAATTCAACAGATTCTGTTTCTCAAATTTTAATGTGGTGTGATGTGCGGATTGAATAACCCTACTAGATAATTCACTATGTTACTGACACAATCAATGTTAGCCATTTTAAAAGTTAAAAATGCTTATATAAAGAGTTGGACTCATAGACTAAATGTAACCGTTTGATATTTTCTCATTCCTGTGAGGAACTACGTGCTTTTGATGATAATCCTATTTGTTATCCATCAGATGAAATCCTTAGTTTTATAAACATTTCAAAAATCTGAACGAATTAGTTTTACGCATGTTGTTAGTTGACTACTGTGTGATAACATTAATAATCCTACAAGCAGTTTTGAATTGCTGATTATTTAAAGTAGGATCTATTATTTACTATGGAGATGAGGGATAAGTTTTACATTTGTATGTTTTAATTAAATCTGTTTATTATAATAGAAGTGTGCATCCACGATCTCGACTCACGAGATTCCAATCCAGGACATATCGGTCACGAGCGCGGATGCTTAACCTCTAGACCACTAAGCCGGCATCCAACGGTGTTAATATTTAACTTCAACCAATCCACGAAACTGAGTCACGGTCCACCATTGTCTTCAATGAGTTACTATCTCACAACTGACCCAGTTGAACTCCACTGGTCACTGCTTCTCCCTAGAACTCCAGGAAATATCTCTTGGAGACCGTCACTAGTGGCATATGTTGATTAATATCAGAAAGGGTTTTGTGGATATTATAGTAATTTTAATAGTTGAGATCACGAGTCATGAGTTTGGATCATCTTTA